CCCCCCGATGTCCTCACTGAGCTTACGGAGGGAAGATGGGCTAACTGGTGTCAGTGTCTTGCGCCGATGGTGAGGGGCTTGGAATCGTTCTTTTCCTGTGCAAAGAAAAGTCTGCTTGTCAGGGTGGATGCAATGTGCGCGCGTTTAGAACCCAGTCCAGTGTCCGGCAGCCATTGTAGAGTTGGGAGTAGAATCGTGTGATCCCTGCTTCTGTGTGTTTCCAGGTGCTCTCCTTCTCTCCTTCCATGGATGTGCGCTTTTCGAAAGCGGGGAAGGCTTTCACCTAGAGTCTTGTTTCTTCCGATTCAGTCCTTCTCATCCCTCTCCCGCTGGCGCATCAGCGTGCAAAATGCCGTTTCCTTGAAATCAAAAACCCTGGGGTTTGGCATTAGCTTCCGTTGCACCCTTCCTTTCTCCTGTCCTCACTCCTCAACCCCGAACTGCAGTCCAAAGCAACCAGGATGAGAAACCGATTCGAATTGTTAGCAGAGATCACAGCCTCGACCCCCGCGTGGAGGGTCTTTCTTTTAGCAAACCAAATAAATTCCGCCACTCCAGAAGCGAGAGACAGAGTCCGGGCTGGAGGGGTGGGGTGGGATGAAAACCAAGGATTTCTTTAAAACATCAAATTGATTTCAATCACGGTGCAAATCAAAGTCCGCCCGGGACGGTTTAGGCGGAAACCTCACGAGCAGATCCATTTGGTGCAAAATGAGAGGCTGCCTCTCCCCCTCCCTCCTTTTTTATTTCCTTTTTTTAAAAAAATTCCTCCTTGGAAATTCTGATTTAAAACTCATTCTCTGACCAACGCTCGGAATGAAACCTGGATCCGAGCAGCTTGGTTTTGAAAGCCCCTGTTCCTCGGGGCGTGGAGAAGGTTCTGCTGATAAGGACAGCTTATCTGTGTTTGTTCCCTGCGGGCCCATCCCCATGTAGGAATTCCTTAATCGCCGGGACACACACACACACCCCCGGCAGGCGTTGCCGGCCGCTGGCTGGCTGCTTCTTTTCCATCATCCCCTTTCCTCCGCTTCTTTCTCCCACCCCGCACGCCCCGGCCTCCAGCCTCGTTTTCTCCTAATCCCGCTTTTTCTTCTAGACGAACTCTATGCCCAGAAACTGAAGTACAAAGCCATTAGCGAGGAGCTGGATCACGCCCTCAATGACATGACCTCCATGTAAATACCAGGCCTCCGGCCAGCCGGGGTGGGGCGCTGTGTGTGTGTGTGGTTTGCGTGGCAGCCTGTGCTTTGAAACCGCCATGCTGTGGGGGAGACCTTTAGGGACAAGGGGAAATGCCCTAACAAAAGTGGAGGGTGACGCCTGTCCACATTTCAGCCGGCGTTCGGCTGGGTGTTCCTGAACGTTGCAGGCTTTGGATGATGGGAGTGTGTGTCCGATGCGCATGGAGAGCACCTGGTTTGCTGCATGGCGCTTCCTAATCATCCGGACATACAGATTCCGATTGATCCAGCGGCAACGTAACCGCAGTGCGCCTTAATGATGCTCTGGAGGGTGGTTGCTAAGACAGAGATCCCAGTCTGCCTTTGGACCAGCCGATCGTTGCCTTAACCACTGGTAGGTCTACCGTGGGAACGGATTCCCAGCATGCTGCAGTCGAGTGACAGACTAGGACTCTGGAGAACAGGGTTCAAATCCCCATTGTGGGCAATTGTGGCACTAAGTAAGCCTCCGAGCATAACCTGGTTGGGAGCAACAGAGCAGAAATTAAGTCCCAGCCCTTCCCATTCTTTAGACATGCACAGCTAAGCTTCCAGGGTGTGTTAGCAGAGCAGTTACGTGCCAGAGTTCAAATGTAAAACTGCCCACAACATTTTATTGTCTTATTTCACTCCCTGGCCTTGCATTGTGTGAATTTCCCAAGTGGTTTACAGCGTAAATAACAAAACAAAACAAAAAAAGGCAGATCTCTAGTTCAGAAATAAAGCAGAGATTCCAGCAGACAAAAGATCAGTTCATAAAAAGTCATCATGGACAGGGAAGTAAACTTGGCAACGTGTATTTTTAAAATGGATTTAAACCAGTGCTTCCCAAGCTTGGGTCGTTCCCCCCCCCCGGTGTTCTTGGACTGCAACTCCCCAAAATCCTAGCCAGTGCAGCTAGTGGGTGAAAAGGCTTCTGGGAGTTGTAGTCCAGGAACATCTGGCCACCCAAGGTTGAGCACCGCTGATTGAAAGCTTTGTAAATGGTTCCATTTATTTTAAATGGTTCCTGCCCTGCATTTCAACCCCCCCCCCCAAAAAAGGTGCTCAGAGCAGTATACGGACCTCAGAAATGTGGTTCTGGGTTCAGAGGCTTCTAAACTAAAAGGCATGGCTCGCAAGAAGAAGGAATTGAGAGAGGGGTTGAAAAAACAAGACAGAGGGTCTCACTAGATAGGGAAAAAGTGTTGGGATTGGGGGTTCTTCCTGGAGGTGGTCTGGATCAGTCCCCTCGCTATCTTGTCCACCTCTGGAGACCCAAGACTGGGGGGACTGACGGCCGGGCTGCCCTCGTCTTTCATCTGACGCCTTTCAGATCTTCCAGGCAACAGCTCCCCGGGCCTGGATGGGGCCGTCGGGGGGGGGAGCGGGCACCCTGTAGCCCGGTGGGCACCAGGCTGAGGAACGGCAGCTTGGCTCTCGTTTGCCCGACAGGCCAGCCGTGTGGCGCTGAAACCGGGCCGCTGCCCCCTTCCTGCGTCAGCGGCCGCCGTGCTTTCTGGCTCCTTTCTCTCGTGATGAAAAAGGCTCTCGGCGCTAAAGCAGACTGGGATTCTCTTCGCCAAGCAGGCGCCCGGCCGTTTTCGCAGGCCTCCTTTTCTTTGTAGTTGCTGTTGGCGTGTGGTGTTTTCTTATGCAACGGCATGCGTGTGCGCCTGCATCCACTGGCTGGTTGTGTTTCCCCCCCTCCCTTCTTAGGCTACAATAACTCTGGGGAAGGGGGGGTTGTTGTGTGCAGCTGAGATTTGAGGGGTGTGCGTGTTAGAGGGGAACTCTTGGCAGCAAGCAGGAGGGGTGTCGGTGGAACTGCTTGCCTCTTGACACAAAAAAACTGCCTTGAATCTAACCCGCTGACTTCTTTGACCTTGCGCTGGTGCTCTTTATGGATTGAGCTTTCTTCCTTGTTATTCCCCCCCCTCCTAATGGCAGAATGCGTCCCCCTCCCTCTGCCTTGCTGAGCCCCTCTCTTGAATCTCTCCTCCCCGCCCTCTTGCCTTTCCTCCTGCGTGTTGTGCCCGAGCTGCCCGGCCTTCCTTTTAAACTATTTATTTTTCTCTCTCCTTTTGCGTACAGATGAAAATGGTGATTCCCGAAACGCCACTTAGAAGGCTGTTCCTGCAGCTTTGCGGGGTTTTTTTGGGGGGGGATGATTTCCGGCCCCCTCTTCCCTTCTTCTCCAGTTTCTCCCACTTCCCCACGTTGGCGCCCGTCGGCTGAAGTGGGAGAGCCTTCGGCCCCATCCGTGGGAACGAGAGCCTTCTGCGCCGCGCCGGGGGGCGTGCGTGATTTCTCCAGCCGTCCGTCCGCTCTCCCTCTTGAATCGCACTCTCTGTCGCTCTCTCGCTTGCTTGTTTGGGGAACAAAGCTTGCTTTGTGATGTCCAGCGTGCCAGACTCTGCTGGGGCGGGTATGGGAGGGGGCCGGATTCTTCTAAGTCTGTAGACTGAGGAATGGTGCTCCTGCCCCTCGGACAGCTTGCAGGGAGAGCCGGATAGGAGCCAGAGCTGCCAGCCCCGGTGACGCTCAGCCCTGTAGCCGCTGCCACGCTGTGTTGCTTTTGCAAATCGATGATAATGTAACCGTCGGTGGAATGTAATACAGACACCATGCACTGAACCCCTGGACCTGGTCTCGTTTCGTCCTCTCTTCCGTCCCTCCAACTAAACAAAGCAAAACTTTAAACCTTCTGCAGATCTCGAAAACATGATTTCTGCCAAGTTCTTTTGAACACACACTTCCGGGCCCGCTTTGGAAGGTTTCCTGCGATGCGTCGGCCTCCCTCAGACGGGCGCCCTCCTGGCGCCGTGCTGCAACTCCCCTCGCCTACTGGGAGCTGTAGTTCAGCCCATCAAGAAGCAGCTGGGGTTGAGAGAGACAGATGGCGGTGTCCTTTCTTCGTGTCGCCCCAGTTTCGCCCCAAAAGGGAGAAGGGAAAGATGATCAGGAACGGTGTCCGTAGTTCTCAGAATTACAGATTGGAGGGCTAGGATATGTTTTCTTAAAGGGATCGGTGAAGCTAGGCTGCGGGTGGTGCAGAAACACAATAAGGACCTCCGTGGGGGCCCTGCTGTTTACAGGTGCCCAGGCTCTCCCCCCCAACCATTGATCCCCTTTTAGCTGGCAAATGATTCTGAGCGGTTGCTGTCCTTACACCCACTGGCGATCGGGGCTGGATCTTTCTTTTGGACGCAAGACCTGCCCGGAGTGGGAAGCAAACTCTCGGGGCTGGATCTTTCTTTTGGACGCAAGGCCTGCCCGGAGTGGGAAGCAAGCTCTCTGGTGCCCTTCCCGTGGGCGAAAGAGGACGCCAGG